AAGAGGCCCGTGCCGCCCCCCCAGCCTCTCCCCGCGGGCAGGGAGCAAGGCAGAGCCCTGCAGCCTCAGTGGCTCGTGGCCACCTGCCCTCTGCACCACCGTGGCCACCAATCGCTCTGCAACACGTGCCCCCATGGCCACCCTGCGAGCAGGGATTAACAGGGACGCTGCCTAGCACCAGCACCACCCTGCCAAGCCTGTGCGTCGCCTCCCCCACGCCAGCTGCAAACAGCGAAGGGGCAAAGAGCACCCTGAGCCAGGGCAGTGCCAGCCCGATTGATTCCTGCAGGATCCAGCACTGGCCCCCACCCAGCACTGGCGGCAGGACCTGGCAGCGCCTCCGCAGGCACAGGGTGCCCTGGCCCCCAGGGATGCTGCACCCCGGCACAGGTGCTGCTGCAGCAGGGCCCCGCTGGCCGGGTGAGCCCCCCCCAGTACTCCAAATTTCAGCCTTTCTTATTTTGGAGGCATCAAGGTCCCCCCACATCTCCGCTCCCACCGGCCAGGGAGGAAGGGGCAGACCTGCCAGGACAACTCCTTTGCATGGTGGAAGGTTCCTGGCTCTTGGCCAAGGAGCAGAAGGCACAAACCCAGCAGGGTGAAGCAGCCACGCTGCTGCCTGGCTCTCCCCTGCCCCATGTGCATCCTCCCCCCACCCCAGGGCACATGCCAAGGGAGCCCCACCGACATGCTGTGACACCGAAGCAGGGCCTGGAGCCTCAACTCCTGCTTGCCGTTCCTCTGAGAGAGCCCCGAACCGCCAACACTTCCCCAGGGCCAAACAAAACCCGGCAGCGCCCTTCCATCCCCAACACTTCAGAGCCGGGAGCTCCAGCTGCGGTCGCCTTCCTGCCTCAAACATATGGGCAGAGAGCCATGGGGAAGGTGGCCGAACACCCTGAACTGTGCCTGCAGTAACCTTTGAGAGATCACCTGTTAAGTTTACATCCAACGTAGGTTTAAACCAGCTACCAAAAGTCATCAGGGAGCCCATCCCTTAAGATACACACAGCTGAGCTGCGTGTACCCCCTGTCCCAGCAGCACCAAGGTGACATAGACGATGGCACAGCCTGCACCGCCGAGGGCTGCCATCAGCACCCCAGGGGACTGCCTGTCCTGGGGCACCCACAGCTCTGGCTTCCCTCAACCGAGAGCCACTGATGCTGTTCTGCTCAGACCTCCATCGCCCCAGGGCTCCTGCCTGAATTTCCGCTCTGGGAAGAATAAAACCATGGCCAAACCCCAGAGCAGCTCCCAGCTCAGCCATGCTGGGCAAAGTCCGACGCTCCCACGGGCTGGGCACAAAACCTTACAGAGGCACCACAGGACAGTGCCCCGCCATCACCCTCTCCAGGCTGCAGGCGAGCTCATCTGGTGACAAAGAGGGTGACGGAAGCGGGTGACATGTGGCACTGTGGGTCAGGAGCACACCTCTCACACCGCTCTCCAAGGCCACTCGGTCGCGCAGCCTCCCTGTAACCCACCACTGCTGCATCCTCAAGCAGACCAGCCAAGCCCTCACCAAGTGCCTGTGGACAAAGTCTGTCCTGAAACCACTGCTGCGCCTCGCTGTAATGCTGCTCCCTGAACAGCCCCTGGTGCCAGCGACGACAGGGACCCCCCCAGGGCCACCAGCATTCAGGGGCAGCGCAAGGGACTGGCTCCAGCTCTCAAGTCCCAGCCCAGCACCCTCAGCCAAACATGAAGCGTCTGCTCCCCATCCCATCCCACAGCACCAGGGCCGCTGCTCTACGTGTTGCCAGGAGGAAAGCGCACCATGGTGAGGCACCTACCCCAGGGCAGCACCCTGCAGCACCGGGCTGTGCCAACGGGCAGCTGCTGGCAGGGCAAGGGCAGGGCACGCACCACACTCCCTCTGTGAGACTGGGAGAAGCCCAGCAACCCCCAACTCCAACCCCCCCCGGGGTGAACCCCCAGCAGGGGAGGGGTCTCATGCTTACCCCCCTCTCTGCTCCAAGCAGAATCAGCCCCTGCCACAGCAGGATCAGCCCAGCAGGATCTGGTTTTGCTCGGTGAAACACCCAGGATGTGGACGGGGCCAGGGCAGACCTGGGCTGGGGGACCCACCCATGGAGAGCAAGGCATGGGCTGACGAGGCTGGGCTCTGGCACAGGGCCTGACTCTGTCCTGGCCGGCCAGCGCCAGCAGCTCTGCTCCCGGGCTGCTGGGAGAGGGCAGCACTCCCCCAAGAGCAGGCAGGATGATGTCCCCTGCACAGACGGGGAGTGCGAGGTGACCGCGGGACTTGCACACAGCAGGAGCACGAGGAAGCAGGTGACAGGCACAGAGCATGCACATCCTCAGGGTATGACTGCCCCAGGGGCTGCGCCAAATCCAGCCATGAGCACCCGCGACACCGCAGGCAGCTCTCGCCCCAGCACACGGCTGGTCCTCCGCATGCAGAACTGCTGGGTGGGCAAGGAGGTGCTGGTCCTTCCCCTGCCACCCCGCCTGC